AAATAAAGGCAGAATAGTAAATAGACAGTTGTAATGCTGATAAAAATGTCATAATGTTATAGCGCAGAACAGGCTCTTTCACACCATTATGAAAACTGTATGTATGATGTTGTTATTTGTGGTTGTTAATATAGTCAAAATATGTTCAGCAATGTTTATGAAATAATTAACATAGTGAAAATACGATAAGAATAATTTACAATAGTATTTAAAATCTGCAGTAATAATTGGAATTGAGACGAAACAACTTGATTTCTGTATATCAATCGAATTGTAGATAGCTGAGTTGTACTCGTAAATTGGGCTCACCAATTTTCTGGCGGTTGGTATTCAGTATATTCTTGAAATTTCTATACCACTCAATGTATAAGTCAGTAGACGAACACAAAGCGTTGATGACGTTTAGCAACGCACCATTTTAATCATAAAAATTCAGGCATACGAAGCGAAATGATATCCAAGTGTCGAAGAGCAAGTAAGTGAGCACTTGAATGGATGGGATTAAAATGTACAGACATATACATAGGAAAAATGAATGTCATAGAATTATTAAAGCAATTAGAATGAATATGCATGTAGGCAATGCTTAAGCACACATGCTCATAGAAACACGACTATATTAAAGGTACAATAGTACGAGAAAGCTTTTAATGTAGGAAAGTCTCTGTCTGCTAAATATGTTTATAAAAGGGCTTCACTAAACTAAACATAAACAAACTCAAATGAAGTTGAGTTGCTGTAAAGTATGTACTTCGCGTTGTTTTGGTTGGTCTGGAACCCGGTTCTATGGATAATGTGTGCTCCCGTCCTTTTAGGCAGTTATCTCGACCAGATAAATTTGTTTTCAAGCAATATGGGGTCAGAACTAATTAGGGAAAATGTCACTAGACTGAAGGCGCTGAGTTACTAGATTAAGTCTTGGATGGTGTAAGCAAATAAGCAGAATAATGTGATTGTCTTCAAGGTTTCCAACTAATACATTCCCCTGAGAGGGGTCACTTTTTCTGGCATTGCAGACGCTACTTATCTTTGAAATTCACCAGGGGTATCCACACCGTTTAAACAATGAAGCAGTCAGTGTAGGACACATGCTCCCACACTTTAAAACTCACTACACTGACATATAGTTGGTGCAACAATGTCTGGTGTCATGCCGTCTTCGATTACCTGGCCAACTAAATTTAGTATTTAAAATGGTACAGCTTCCACATCTCTATTTTTCATGTACGAAATTGCCCTCCCTACTATTTTAGGTAGCCAGCAGTATCGTCTTCTTACGGTAGCTGGATTTATGTAAAAAATGTTTCAATATGATGGCATCTTGTGACCTACATCATGGGCGATGTCTGACTGTTGCTTCAATGTTTAAGGGTGGCATGTCAATGAAGGAAGTTGATGAGCAAATGCTTAACATTCAGAGCGAAAATCCAACAACAATAAAACAGCTGTTTGTGACATTTCACTAAGAGGTCTGAAAACATCAGTAACTTTTATTGGATACAGCACAGTAATTCAAGAGCTTGAGCGAACAGTCGACTGCTATTTTCCGGTGTAAGGCTTCATCGCATTAGCACAGATGTGAAGGTATACGTGAAATGGAGTTTACAAAAGCAGAATCGAATATGTATGATCCTGTAGTGACTTCAGTTTTATGAAGAGAACGCTATTGGTTTAATAGAAACATTCATTATCATAACCAATTATACCAGTGATTGTTTTACTGAACCTTTCGTTTATTTGTACTTGGTAAGCGTTGTTGCCATACTGAACACTGTGACTTCGCTCTTTTCTCTGGCACTATCTCGGTATTCCTTCGATGCCACGAAATCGCCGGAAAGTATATTCCCTTGATTAGATTAACTCTTCTTCTCTGTCCTTGATTCACGGAGATATTATATTTAGTGACGGGAACGTAATTGGTCTGTGGTGGTGATCATAGTCAATCGCGACAAGTGTTACTACAATCCTATCAGCAGTATCAAAAAGGGAAAGCTAAGTGAAGACAAAGCGGACTTTAAGAAGAAAGAGAATAAATTTGACGCGTTTTTTATAAGTTGTTTTAAAATTTAGACCAACGGTTACGAATAATATATTTTATCGATTGAGTTGTCAGATTTGTTAGAATGTTCTAGTGCGATCGCAGCAGTATCTTTTGTATTGTCAGGATGAGACTCTTTAGTCTAGACGATCTCTACGACTAATAACGGAATGTACTTCCACACAACCACCCATTTGCTTCTTCGATGCCCGGTACTCCCGTTCAGAAGCACGATGTGAAGTAAGAGCCAGTGCACTGTTGGGTAGCTCGCATATAAACAGTGGCTCTCACTAACTGGTTTTGGTTAGTAGTTCATGTTTAGTAACTTAAAGAGCAGTCTGCAATGAGGATTTACAAGTGGTTGCTTGATTTCGCATATTTTCAAGAGGATTATTTGGAATTCGAGGATTAATTTGTCTCCTTAGGGCTCAGATGTTTAACTAACTCGGTTTATTTAATGTGTAAATTGATTACATGAAATCAGTGGACCTAAGCTGAGCAACAACCTAACTTGTGATATTAGTTGTTATTCATCTCAAGTTTAATGGGCCTGTCCCCGTGCTGTGAAATTTTTCCGGATCAAAATAACTTTTAGGATTCATGAACCTTATCTTTGATACATCGTAGCAAACTACTTCACGTAGGTCGTTGAGGTCTGGTTTGTTGGGACTGTACTGACGTTCATAGCTAAATACAAGTCTCTTAACTGTGTTTTCTACTCGAACTTCTACAAGTAACAAATCCCAGCAATGGTGTTCTAGTTCAAAGCATATCGTAAGTACAGACTTGCGTCTAGTTTAACTGTAGTAGGTCGTTTTGATTTTTCGTTGCGAGCAGTGCGTATGTGATCTGTGAACGTCTTCTCTCCGTTTATCCGTGTAATTCGCTTCAAAAGCTCATGTGGAACTACCTAGATTTAAGTAAAGCTCTAACAATGTAATAAGCTAAATGGACTTGAAGCGCAAATAAAAGTGACAAATTCACTAACCATAATTGTTTAAACTCGATATTATCTATGAATATAGCTGTCTAAAAGAAGTAGGGTAGACTGAGAATGAAAATACTGCAAATAGACAGTAATATGAAGAAGAGAAGGCTGGTGAGTCAACTCAATTAATGAGGGATGACTAAGTATTTATAGTCGAACAAAAGTAAGCTGGACACGAGATAAGAGAAGTAAGCAATGCACACACTAATAAAAGCGACCAAGATTAAGAGCGAATAATTGACAAGGTTAAAAGATGGATGAATGATAACCGGAGAAGAATGAATCAACTGTTTTGTCCAAAGGCTAGGACATATTATACACCACAGGTTTCAGTTCAGATGATTAGTGAATGTACACATATAAGACGAAGTTGATTTTTAATGGTTTCAGGTTCCCAACTTAGTAATATTATGTGATCTTTCATCGCAGTTAATGACTTCTGTTATGCTTTAATATCACTAGTCATGGGTTCCCACTAGAACTTTGGGGATCTCATTGAAAGTTGGTCACTTCTAATGGTGGTTTAAAATCGATCGGTTCATGATACCAAAGTAACTCAACAACTCTATAATGAATATTACCATGTGTCCACTGGTGACTGGCTCCATGAGGAAGTTCCACCGAATCTTGGCGAGAGGTTGTGACCAGTGGAGTTGAACCCTATTCGGGTGTGATGCAGTACTCACCAAAGACAGAGGCTGAGGTTTCATGGGACCGTGGATTGGCCGAAATTAGACATTAACGCCGATAGATGCCGGCTCAGCTGTTCAGAGGTTAGGCGTTCGCGCGCATGATTGAAGGTCCTGGATATTGCACACTGCCGATGAGTCTCATACAAAGACAAAATGGCCGTCCAGTGTTTCCAGGTTTCTTATAATTTAGTATTACGAATAAATGGAGGACATATATGGACAAGAAACTTCTTCAATTAGGAAAGAACATAATTCAACTTAAAACCGACCAAAATCGATTTCATTTAGATACTAGTCCAACATTAATGTTAAAACTGTAAAATAAGCCCTAGCACGATTGCGTTCCTTGTTTTTCGGTCAGAAAATACTCTTCGTAATATAATGACATGTAATCGAGTTCTACTGAAAGTATATGTATTTCCACGTCAACTGTTCTCATGGAACCATTAACACTGGTGTTCAGTTTAGCGTTCCGTTAACGCATTTTTCGCATCAATATATAGCAGATAGTGATTTGATTTTTGTACTATTTTATTCAGCACATTTAGTTAATATAAATGTGTCTTAGAAATCCTGTCTAGTCTGCCATACTCTCCCAAGTTTCGTCTCTAACATTCAACGAAATCTTCATGTAGGAAAAACGTCCGAGCAGCCCTCACTTTATCCTGACGATCTGCTGCCGTCCCGTCACCAAAAGCTGAATTCAACTGACATTCATTGAAATCACGAACTGGTCTACGGTAAACAACTATTAAAAACCCGCAAACATTTGACGTCTGCTTCGTCCTAGTATGGACTCCTTAGCAGTGAGCACCTATGCCAACCGCACGCGAGGAGTGTGAGTAGTCCAGACAAGATAGCTGGACGAAACGATATAGCAGTCCTACAAGTTACATGCGTATACTGTGTAGCTTTTTAAGGATTATGGCAGACTCAAAGATAAATACACCCTTCAAAATTATGAATAACACAATAATCACTAGGAAATTGCAGAAAAAGTCGAAATAAAAGCGTAAAACATAATTATTACATATTAAAGACCAAAATCAACAAAAAAGCAAACAAGGAATTGAAGTCAAATGATCGTTTTTAAGAAGTTGATTATTAAAAGTTTATGCAATTATAGACCAACGTAATCAACTCGCGTGTGAAGTCAACTCAAAATGTAATCGAGAAAATTTTAAACAGTAGTCGATACATTATATATCACATCACGATGTGACATTATCGAATGACAAACTAGCCTAAACTGTAAGAAACTTACAGCTACAATAAGGCAATTTTAATAATTGGGATAGGATGAAGTGTAATACTGAGCCTCATTTGCAGCCGGACTTGCTTTAGATAAGACATTATTTGGTGATGTAACAGCTGCAGTACTTGTGTGCATTGAGTTATAAGAACCCGATACAAGATTATTTGGAATTGGAGGACCTGTCGAAGGATTCGTATTTTGAGTGGGGGGAGGGTACATAGGTGGATATGATATACCCTGCGGGAGAAAAAAGAACAATACCATAGGACGTGAATGACATTAAAAGTGATATTTAATCCATGTAAAAGAAGTGCAAGTCCCCATCAGTTAAATTGTGAAATAACACGACATTAATAAGACAACCAAAAAATTAATCTTGCCTTGCTTACTACATAATTGGAGTATATAATAATTAAATAAATCGTAGGCAACAAATTTTTATTTCCTATACATAACAGTAATAGTTACATGAATTCCAGCTGCATCCTATCTGCACTATTTGTTTTTCTTGATAAACTCACCAAATTCGCTGTTACTGACTTAAATAGTTGACATAATTTTAATTCATGTGATTGTAGCTTCCTTTCGCCTATTTTTCTTACTCATTAGGACGTGCAATCAAACTTCGGTTGCATTGATGATGTGGCAATATCCGTGAATCGTAAACGTGCTCCACTGCTTAACTTTTATCATTGAATTATTTATGTTCAACCTTAAGTATATGACAGGCTTTGAAAGAGTACACTCTTACATTAGACGAGGAGATAAATAAAGAAATTAACAAAAATATTGAGTAACTGAAAAACATGTTTCTTACGAAAAACTGGGATTTATTTACAAGCAACTCATTGTAAAACACAATCAATGTTGTCATTTATTATCTTGAATTCCACTTTGATGTTTGTGTTCCTCTAAACAACTTTTTAATGTTTTGACCGACTTACAACTCCGCAACGAAAACGACCATAGAGAAAAAAGGTGAGAATATACAAGGAGAAAAACTGTACTGAAGTTTGAAAGCTAAATGGCGTAATAAACCGAGAAATTAGACATCTGAATTCGATGTTTACACAGATGTATATGGAAACTATTTAAGGAGCTTGCATTAATGATGATGCCCAGTTGAATGGATGTGACTTAAACAGGTATTTTGTACATCATCTCCTGAGGTCATGCTTCTTATAACCACATGTTTAAAGAGTTGTTTCGATTTTTGTTGAACCTGATGTCCCAAAAAGTCCCCAGTCACTGATTTCGTCCCAATGTTTATGGCATAATAAAATCCTAAACCTCCTTTCTAAGAAATGTACTGAAGCCCTGTTATCCATTCACGAGCATCTTTAACAAATCCGTTTTTAGACCGAAAATTCGAGAGATAATCTCAACACCAAAGAAAGTATCTGGGGACAAGTATGTCCACTTAAGACCTATTTCAATAACTTATCTTTTTCTCAAAAAAAATTGGAGAAACTATCGCTACTCTCACTTCAACCAGCAATAAAAGAGCATACTGATCCATATCAGTTTGCTTACAGATGAAGAAGAATTACTTTAGATTCTGCTAACATTCTGCATCATAACAAAGTCACACTCGGAAAAGATTCAGAAGCAGATTAGATGCGTATTTCTAGAATATACTTTAGTTTTTGACTTTATTCCAAGGTTATGAAGGCCAAACAAGTTTTCTGGCTTCAACACCAACAGCTAGACAACAAATTGGTTGTTTTCTTACCTCTATTCAAAGGATAGTATACTGTGATGGGAGGAAAGCATTCCATTCCTTTACTAACTTAAAATGTGCGGTAAAGAGCTTTCCTTTCACTTTTTCTTCGCGACTTGCTATCTTCTACAGAAAATACTTTTGTTAAGTATACAAATGATCTCACTATATGTACAGCAATTTCTGCCTATTCACATTATCTTGAAATGAACAAATTCTTGTCAGTCATTGAACGGTAGTTTGTTGATGATGATTTGGAACCCAATCTTTCCAAATGTAGGAGTAGGCTGGAAGAAAACTAGGAGCGACCAGACCGAAACATGGCACAAACCTACGAAGTCACTGACAGCTGGACTGAGTCATATTGGTAGATGTAGACTACCTGGTTGCGGTCCACCGGACAATAGTAACCGATGGTTGGAGACTTTGAGTAATATGGCTCATAATCGTTTGAATTGGCGCAGATACACCCATTCTTTTTCTTCTTTCGAATGCTAGCCTTCGGAATTCCTCATGACCGTTTTTTCTTTTTAAATTTATTTCACTGGATTATACTTGAACCTTAATCTTCTCAACTACTGCTAATACTTCTACTGCCTCTACTACTATGGGTTTCGAATTGACAATTCGATCTCGTTGTACTAATGTGGTAGGGCAATTTGCACTGATGTATGTGCGTACCAAGCTCTTTCAGAATGACCCCGTTATCTTTGAATGGACATTAAATGTGTAAAATACATTCAAAAGAACATAAGTTGGTAATAAGTACAGAACTGTAAAACAGCAAATAGTTTAGCTAGAAAACTCACATGCTGAATCATGGGTGTGGACTGCAATGTACCTTGTATCGTAGAGTTCCTAGGAGAACCTGAAAGAGATTGCATTACCGGTCGCTGTGTCCCTAATCCTACTAAAGGATCGCACGGTGGAAGTACGGGTGTAAATATGTTAGATGATGGATGTGGAGGGGTGATATGCATACCCATGGGTCGACTGGTGTTCGGTAGAGTTCCAGCTTGCCGAGCGTAAGGACCTATATTTGGTGGCATGTTTGCCGAACTGGGAGCCTGGTGGACAAGAATAAATTTTTAAAACCAATAACAACGAAATAGGAAATGATTGTATTTCTAACAAATAATAAGGAATCTAAACTAGTATTTATTAGGTCCTGAACTTCATTTAAAAGTCAAATTCTTTTATTTAGTGAGGAAGTCTGCTTTTCATAAATTGCAAAAGCAATTTATTTCATTTTGATGTACATGTTTCTTTGCTGAAGCCATTAACACAACTTCTTTAAACATCAATATTATCAACTAAGTTCATGACTTGACTGCGCCGAGAGCCACTTCCGGTTCTATGTTCTGTACGGGAGAGGTTGGCGACCCTGCTGAGGAAAAACTGTTAACCATAGAAAAACCAACTGTGATTTAGGAGTCGAAGGGTTTCCACGTAGAAGAGTTATAAGGCCGTATATTGAAAGGCAAGATGCTTCATAAGTCACAAAGTTCATGACCCATCCTTTTGTCAAACAGACCTATGTAGACGACAGGAAAGGTACTTCAAATTATGAATTTGTGCGCAGAATGCAGCTAACAAGTGCATCCTGTGTGGACTGGCGTCAAAAACGACTGTCAACTCTCCTTTTTTCTTTTTGAAATAGGAAGATCATACCTCGGAAGAAAGACAGGATCCATTGGACATCGTGAACGACTCGGATTTCGCAGATTGCTTGGGCCGCCTACCCCACACAGGGCAACAAATATAGATAAAGACAGTGGTCTCAGAGGCTACCATGGCAGTATGCTTCAACATCTAAAAGGGCGAACTCAAGATCGTGAAATAAATCCCAGCGAGCAGCGGTCAAGCCACTCTTGATCACGAAGACCAGGAAGAGATGGGAGCTTTTGCTTACCTGGGTGGCATAGTTGATAAAAGAAGAGGATCTTGTGAAGGTGCGAAGGCATAGATCAATGAAACAAAAAGTGCATTTCCACAATTAAGAAATCTCTAGAACTCAAATCAACAGAAAACTTGAAATTTTTAAAACCAACGTTAAAACAGTTCCATTGTAAACATCCGAAACTTGGTGAACCACCGCCATTACCAAAACAGAACAAGTATTTATAATAAGCTACCTACATAGGATACTCCAAATGCATTCGTCAGAAACTACTAGCAATAATTAATTTCTACTGATTATTAACTTTTATACCGGCTTCAAGCCTCCTTATATTTAAGGAAATATCGACATACTACTTTGTCACTTTGATCGACTAGCATAACACAGAAGCACTATGGTGTTGAAGTGCATGACATTAGCATACAAATATGTAAACTAGAAACTTTGAAAAATTATCGTGAGGAACCTGAAAAGAATGTAAAACCAAACAATTGTTCAAATGAAATTTAGATCATAAAGTTCGGATTACATCGTAAACTGGCTTTTTTTCGCTTAGTTTACTGTTTGTTTTATATTCTTGATATTTTCTAAACTGCATCTCTAACCAACATTAGTGAGATATGACCAGGAATATTTTAAATGTTCTTCCTTCAATCTTTTGAATTTATGTGCAAACTGGACTAATATGCTACCTTAATTCTGGTACTCGTCACGTTGCCAGGGACTAGGCCTACGCTAAGAATAGTTTAACTTATTAACAATCAAGGTTTGCATAAGTCCTTGAAACACTGTGAGGTTGGTGATACTGATACACCCATCGGCCTGAGCGTGATTCAAACTTGTGACCACTAAACCATCCATTGCCACTAATACCTATACAATCTCTACCAATATCAGATTTGAACTGACTATTGCGTCTCTATGCTAATATGGTATGGCAACACGAACTGATGCACTTACGTACTAAGTTCTACGTTGTAACTGACTGATTGACTGTCCGACATCTGTCAGATATGAGTTAGTATGAATTTTCGTTAAAAGAATTAATTAAAATAGATTCTGACAGGTTATAGTATAGCATGGTATCTGAAAGTGCTTCAGTACTGAAATACCTTTTGATACTCGCTTATAAATTCAACTCAATAGTAGGTTGTTTACAAAAAGCACTAAAATGGCATACCCTAAAAGACTGCGCGCTCTGCTGTTGCAACATCGGATTTGATGTGTTAGGCATCACTTGCATTCTAGGAGTATCATTGCCAAGACTTATAGGTTGGGCTGAGTTTTGAGAGGTTATAGGCACTGAAGGTTGCACATGAGATTGGGTAGAAGGATAGTTTTGTTGCCCCAACGGCTGTCGCTGAGATGATGACATTGTCTGACTGCTTGGTGGCAATAATTGACCCTGAGATTGCGGCAGCATATTGGAAAGTGTAGAACTGCTGTTAGATAATGCTGAGACCGCTTCTGCATTAGAATGACTAAATGTGGAAGACACTTGTCCAATTACCATATCAAGCCTCTTCTCAGATGGTGCTTGTGGTTCAATTGAATCGTGATCAGCAGATTTTTTAGACAAATTTAGCCTCTCGTCATCTAACAGCCCGGCTGTCGAAAGAGTTGGTCTGGAAACCATGTAATTTTCCTGAAATAGTTAGTACCTTATTTTAGAACACACAAAAATTTGCATTTTACTAAGTGAGAACAACATTAATGGAGGATCTAAGCACTGCTATAAGATGAGGTATTAAAACTTCAGGATGAAAATAAGGGGCAATCTTAACCAACGCTTCACAAGTGAACAAGGTTACCTTTATTTAAAAATAAATTTGACTCAAACACTAGCGATGATACATATCTGATATATACTATTTGGAGTGTTAGCGCCTGACAATTTAATTTGAATCCTCTCAGGCACTATTACACCCACGATCTAATTCTTCTAATCGCTCTTTAATTAACGATCATTCACTATTTTCTTTTGACTTTTAACTCTTAGGAAGATGATTTTATTAGAACAGCTTAGTAACAAAAAGGTAAAAAAAAATACCTAGCTTAACTAGTAGTTAAATTATCAAGCCAAAGCGTGGTTATTTTGAACCTTCATCAACAGTCTTCAAAGTATTATTTACTTAAACAAATAGACAGACAGACACAACACAGAACTTCGTACGTACGTACATCAGTTCAGGTTGCGAAACCACATCAGCACAGAGACGCACTTATACAAATAATTTGAGTAGAATTCCTTAAGACAAACAGTAATTAAGCTGGGTAGAGTGACGTTCATGAGAGTAAGGACAACCATAAAACAGAATGACTCTACACTGTTTAAAGATAACTTGTGTGATCATATTTGTGGTCTTTACTACGCAACAGATTAGGAAAGAGACCTGCTTAAGCTCATAATTTGCAACTGTAATTCTCATACTTCATGAGAACCTACGTTGAAAGTTATACCAGGAGATGCTGAAAATATATGATGCGAAGACCAGCACGTAAAATATGACGGATATGAGGTCATATGCCCACAATGTTGTAATCAGTATACCTGTTACTGAACAGTCGTTACAAAATTAGCGAGACTGTACCGCATATAATTCAAAGGATTAGTAAACTCGGCAAAAAAAATTCACGATATTTTGTTCTGAGAGGAAATACATGAGTGACGAACTTCACTGATTCTGAAATGATTTTTGAAAAGTACATAGAGTGAACAGCAACATGTGTGATAACTCTAATCTACTAGTAAATTTTAATTGTGTTGTGATTAGTTGGTAGTTTCCCAGATCAGCGTGACCAATGAAAGCCTATTTTTGGTTTTTAGTCTCAAGTTAACTGCAATGTAGAGGAGCACATTCATGAGTTCGTGTGAACTGAAGATCACGAAAATCACGCTAAAATTGCTCTATTATCTACACATACACAAGATTTTGATTTCGAAATGTCATCCGAACTGCTGACTGATGACAGGTGGGTGGGTGGATCCAAAGAAGTGATTGTAACATCTGTAGATCGAATATTAGATAACGGATCGAATTCCTTGTTACTCTCCGGATTGTGTATTGACTGTGATAAAAAAAGAAAAGCACAATCATTTTCCAAATTAGTTTTTAAAGGTCATCTTTTATTTAACGACTTAGGAAATGTATGAGCGCAAACGTGTTCACCAAGGAGATTTGTAAAACAATTGGATGATTAGTGCTATATTATTCTAACCGTATTATACGAAAGCTGCACATTATTCACGATAGTTACATAAATGTAGTGTTCAATACCACTTATAATAATCTTAGAGTTGAAAGCTGAAGCATTTAGATTTAATGAGGTTTTAACTTACAACATTAACTATTCCCGTGTCTCGTGCTCCGTGGTAATTAATGCGATGTCGGAAATTTATTGATCAGACTGAATAACCTATTTTATTACAAACCATTGGAACCATTATCATGATATTTCTCGATACGTTATCTTGAATTCTACAAACTATTACTGCCTCGATGTGATATTATTATCAACTTTTACGTAATGAGGGCATCAAAATCTGTAAGGTACCATTTAAACCACACATATAACAGTTGACAGAATAGAATAAGAAAGAACACTTGCTTTGCTGCAGTTAGGTGAATTAATATACATTTAGTCGGTGTTTATTATAAATTTAGTTCATGTGATTTTGTGTAATCCTAACTTAGTTTAACTTAATGACTATTATGCCAAGTTTTGGACCTCATAAACTCACCCTACCTCACGGATTTCCGTCTCCGTCGGTAAGAGTGCCCACTAAGGGCTTTTAAAAGCTGAGCTAATACCCAAAAAACCTTTCATAATAAGGCTGTGCGAGACCGGCCTCAAGCAGTTGTCCCTTGAACTCGGCGGTCACGCCCCCAGGTCTCCTAATCCAACACTAATCTATTTTCCTTTTCAGGTCTCTAGAAACAACCTTCCACGGTGTGGGCAGCCGGGAAGTGACAACCGTCCTCATACCCGTAACAACACACGAGACCAAATTGGTCAAAACCAAATCCTCCCTACACCCACACATACCTCTCTTATCTCCACAACTAACTCTACTCACATTCCCTTTTTTCACTGCTACGCTAATGCAGACGAAGCGAGTTCACGAAACGTCATTCCTGGTCTCTTGAAACCTCGTTCTAGTCTACATGTTGGAGCTTTTAATGTACGGACATTGTGTCAAATAGGGCAACAGGCTTCCTAATCTAGGACTCTAGAATCTAGTGCCATCGATGTATGCTGCGTCTCGGAAACGCGGCTACAGGATCCTAGTAAAATTATTAATCTGATTTCACCTTGTCAAAATAAAGAAGCAGCTTGATTTATCCGGTAGCCCTGATGCTGCTTCCATGGGTCTCGCTGGTGTATGTATAGCATTGAGTTGTAGAGCTGAACAATCTCTCCTAGACTGGATCCCAGTAGATAGCCGATTGTGCGCTATCCGACTAAACGGGACAGTATGTACTCGGAAAAATAGGGACAATCGCCGTTGCCTCTTCATCGTATCTGCCTATGCCACCACTGACTGCAGTTCAGACGAGGTTAAAGATGAGTTTTACACAAAGCTTTCGGACCTCCTCCAAAATTCTAGGTGCTCTGATGTAGTAATAATGGACGGTGACTTCAACGTTCAAGTAGGTAGACTAAATGAGCAGGAGAGACACCTTGGATGTTATGGTGTCGCGGCTCAGAGAACAGACAATGACGACCGTCTGTTGCAACTATGCTCAGATAACCAACTATTCCTAGTAAACACTAATTTGAGGCATAAGGAAAAGCATCTGTTGACCTGGCGACCTCCAAAGTCGTCTGAACTTTGGACTCAACTAGATCACATCGCCATCAGCCACCGATGGAGGGGTTCGATAGAGGACTGTCGCTCGTTCTGGGGCACATGTTCAGAATCAGATCATGCTCTTGTGCGAGCGCGTATTTGTTTGCGCCTTACTGGACGCCAGAAAAATAACTCAAGAAAACCTCTTAGAGTTTTACTTAGTGATAATCAAGCTAAGAAAATATTTCAGGATGAACTAGAAAAACAGTTAGGCGACCATTTGATCGATTCCCATCCGTAGGCAGGTTGGAATGATGCCAAAAAGGCTATGGAAACAGCAGTGATATCTGCTAGTAAGGTGAACCATAACGCTAGAATAAAGCCATGTATCTATGTAGCATCCACCGAACTGATGGATGCTCGAAAACTCATCACACGTGGCTCTCAGTGCGATGAGGAGCGGAGTCAGCTGTAGGCTGATAAACAGTCTACACAATGATCGAGAGCAGTGGTGGGTGGAGAAAGCGAGAGAGATGGAAAAGGCAGCAGCGATAGGCAACAGTAGGCAACTATTCAGACTCATCAACGAAACTGGTATAAGGAACCCAAACGTGAGTGAGACTATTTCGGAAAACGATGGCCTTATCATCCATTCTCAATCCAGGAGACTGGATCGATGGACAGAACACTTTAGGGATCAGTTCAACTGGCCTCGAGCCACTCTTCGGTTACCCACGATCTCCAGTCATCCTGAATGGCAAATCGACTTGAGTCCCCCTAGAATTTATGAAGTTGAGAAAGCGTTAGGAAATCTGAAGCGATGGCGAGCTGCAGGTCCTGATAGACTGACCCCTGAGATATTTAAAAATGGTGGTCCAGTTTTAGCAGCTACGTTGACTGAGATCTTGGGTAGAATCTGGGAACCGGACGTTATACCATCCGAGTGGTCCCAAATCTTGATTGTCCCAATTTATAAGAAAGGACAAAAGTCTACTTGTGACAATCACAGGGGAATAAGTCTAACTAATATAGTATCTAAAATATTGGCCTCAATAATACTTCGACTCTTAACTAGAGCTCGTCAAGAGCAGACTCGAGAAAACCAGGCTGGTTTTCGAACTGGACGTGGTTGTATAGACCACATCTTCACACTACGACAGGTCCTGGAACACAGACACACATTTAGACGTCCAACAATAGTTGTCTTCCTGGACCTAAAGGCGGCATTCGACTCAGTGGATCGTGAGATTCTGTGGCAGTGTCTGTCATTGAAAGGTGTACCAAAGAAGCACATCAACCTCATACAAGCTCTCTACTCGAACACCACTGGTCGAGTGAGAGCTTATGGCGAACTGTCAACGGAATTCCTCACTTAAAGTGGTGTCCGTCATGGATGTCCACTCTCTCCATTTTTGTTTAATTTTATCATAGACATGCTCCTAGAAATAACCTTATCCTCGTCTGAATTTTCAGGAGTAGACCTTTTACCAAGAGGATCGCTTATTGACTTAGAATATGCCGATGATATAGTTCTATTCGGTGAAGACGCTCACAAAATGCGATCTTCTGGCTACCCTGAACAACAATGCAAGCATGTTCGGGATGCGGTTTTCCCCGTCGAAATGCAAAATGTCGCTTCAAGATCGGGTTGCATCGGTACCTTAATTAGTGATAGGGAGTGAAGTAGTCGAACGTGTAGACCGCTTCACTTATCTGGAGAGATTCATCAGTGCCGATGGTCTGGTGACTGACGAAATCTCAGCTCGGATACAGAAGGCTAGATTGGCTTTTGTCAACCTGCGTCACTTATGGTGTAGGCGAGATATCCGCTTGCTAACGAAAGGACGAGTGTACTGTACAGTAGTTCGCTCCGTCTTACTTTATGGCTGTGAAACATGGCCAGTGACAGTAGAAGATATTCGTAGGTTACTGGTTTTCGATCATAGGTGTCTTCGAAGCATTGCTCGTATATCGTGGGACACCCGAGTGAGCTACGCTGTTATTAGGAATCGGGTGCTAGGTAAGAATGGCAGATCAATAGATGAAGTGGCGAAACTTGATCAGTTGAGGTGGTTGGGACATGTGTTGCGTATGCCCAACCACCGACTGCCTCGTCGAGCTTTGTTTCGTAGTGTAGGAATAGGTTGAAAGAAATCTAGGGGCGGCCAGACCAAAACATGGCACAAATCCATGAAGTCATTTACAAGTGGGCTGAGTCATGTCGCTAGTTGTCGACTACCTGGTTTGGTTTCGCGAGATTATAATGATCGATGGTTAGAGGCCCTGAATGACATGGCTCAAAATCGTTCGCAATGGCGCCCGTGCATTTATTCTTTATGTTCTCTCAAATCCTAATCTTCTGGATTCTTCAACACCTCTAGTTTAGACTTTCTAAACTTTTCTCACTGAATCATACTTCTTGAATAATATATTCTAATCCCGACCTCTCCGATTACTTCTAAAACCTTTACTACCTCTACTACTATTGGATTTGAATTGACAATTATATTTCTGTGCTGATGTGGTATGGCAACATGAACTGATGTACTTACGTGCGAAGTTCTACGTTGCATCTGACTGACTGACAATCAATAAACTAAAAATATATTGTTTGGCTTTGTATCGTAAGTACCCTAGCTATATACGAATTAGGACTTATTATTTTAGAGTGGTCTTGATATTTCATTTACATATGTGCATAGATAGATAGTGAAATTAGTGGTGAACATTTAATAGGTCTTCTAGTGTCCTGACTGTAGGCTTAGAAACGTGGATTTACACTGTTGATGATTCCATACTTAGACGAAACAGCATCAAGTATCGCCAAGTTTTTAATGGTGATCTAACATGGATAGATTTATGATTTTACCGAAATTCAACAATCTTCACAACCATATAATGATACTTATTGAAAGTACAGTACAGAAGTTGTGATGTAGGCAAGGAATAACGACAGATAAATGAACACGGCAGTTTATATTCATACCTTCGTAAATTGCTACTAAGCGTTAAATATAATCAAGCAAAACTATACATGGTTTGAAAAGAATCTTTCCGAGTGAAAATAAATAGATGATACTCACGTCTGTTTTGTTTGCTATTTCAAGTCGACTTCTGTCAGTGACAGTTATACTCGTAGAACCATTGGTAGAATATGTCTTTTGAATACGATCAGCAACGTTCAAGATGTGAACACCAAGCCGTTGAAGTTCATAAGTTAGTGAAAACGTATCATCTGGCTCGGATATTTTAGTTTCATCATTTTTTCTGTTTTTAAATGGAGCAGTATATTGTAATATTTCAGGTTTGTTTACAACTAAGAAATTTGAAAAAAAGCAGTAAGAGAATTTAAGCTGGAAAAGTTCCAACTTTTCTATTTAAAAATCTGGATTCATGTTAAGATCTGGTGACTGATATAGTTTGCGGCGTTTAGGTGTTAATTGATTCATAGAGTTTAGGTATGTACTTATGGGCTATCTGCATAAGTCTAACAACCACAAAGATCATTGATTGTTTTACCTATTTAAGTTAACGGCACATCCACACAAAGGATATTGTTGTTATGTAAAGTTGAGTCCAAACCAACAACTTACAGATTAGAAAGCGTACTATCATTTAAGCCAAGAAACAAAGATATATGTGCAAGTGTACAACTAATAGCCATGTTGAAATTCTTTACTAAAGTAGGCAATAGGTCACTAACGAGTTTCCTATCCAATACTAATTTTTTTCGTACATGAATGTTAAATCCTAATGTACATCTTTACGAATGACCAGGAAAGAAAGGAATGCTAACTAGGAACATAACGTAAGATAGACTATAACTTTTAATTGGATGACGAGCTCAGGATAGAAGTTCGAAGGCGTATTGTTTAACTTTTTTTCCTAAGTAATACACATAGTAGATATACGAAACGGGTTGTCTTATGGAGGAATCAAAAAGATCTTAAAATAAGCATAAAATGGATGAGAAAACTGCAGACAGTGTTTTTGTCTTGCTTTTTGAGCAAAGTCTGATTCTGAGATTACATATCCGCATGAAACTGTACATTAACAGTAATTAAATCACACCTGCCGAATAACTATCACAGTTGACAAAACATTTTTAATATAACATTTAAAGTGCAATTTTTACATTACAAAATTTTAGAATGTTAAGAACGAAAGACATACAAACATTCGAAAGCTCCAGTTACTAATTTTTTAGTTTTTTATTAACAGGAAATGTTACTTATTCTAACTTTCCATTTACACAGAAACTTCTGCTAGCAGGAAATATAAATTCAAAATAACATATTGTGAAATTTCAGAGTTTATATTTACTCTTTAATCTAATGTAAATGCCATGCATTAAATATCAAAAGGTATATATCAATGCTGCTTGTCAGTCAGCTACAAAGTAGAACTTCGTACGTACGTACATCAGTCCATGTTGCCACACCACATTAGCGCTGAGTAACTTCACGGGTTTGTGCCATGTTTAGGTTTGGCCGCCCTTTGCTTTCTTTCAGCCTACTTCACCACAAAACATAGAGCGACGAGGCAGTCGGTGATTGGGCATATGTGACACATGTCCTATCCACCTCAACTGATGAAGCTTCGTGCTAGAATATTCATCCAATATCCTAGGAGCATTACTTGTAAATCTAGATCTATTGGTCAATCCCTATTAATCAATTCTTACTGATCGCCCGACCGTGGCTGCTACCTTGACGTGGTGGTCGGGCTTGCCTATCGTGATGACCCAACCGAGCTATATTGGCTGGATTATATGTTCCTGAGGGTTCTCCCATGCAGGGCAGGTCGATTGGAGAACGAGCTTAAAAACAGCTACTCGAGGTATCAGGGCGAAGTCATACTCCTGACTGCAGAGGCGTATGACAGCAGTAAGGTGTTTCCCTCAGACAGCCAGCATCTACAGCGATGCTGCCTTCTCACAGGGAAGGAAGGGTTAGAAAAGGTCGACCCTAAAAGTCACGCCTCACCCTACCTCACAGATTTCCGTCTCCGTCGGTAAGGGCTGCTCACTTAGGGCTTTTAAAAAGAACGGAGTTAGTACTCAAAAAACCTCTCATAAAAAGGCCGTGCGTGACCGAACTCAAGCAGGTGTCCCTTTGGCCCTGCGGTCACGCTAGCAGGTCTCTAAGACCGATACTAATCTACCTTCCTTATCAGGTTCCTCGAAAAACAACCTTCCAAGGTGTGGGCGGCAGGGAAGTGACAACTGCCCTCATATCCGTAACAGCACGCGAGACCAAATTGGTGGAAATCAGATCTTTCCTATACCTCCTTACATCTCTCTTATCTCCGCGACGAACTCTCTTAACATTCCTTTATCATTTGAAATCATCAATCAATCATTGTTAGACCACCATTAGAAACCTGGAAGCATTAGACGGTTGTTTCGTCCTGGTATGGGACTCATCAGCAGTGCGCATCCATGACTGCTGCACCTCGCAGGATTCGAACCCGGGACCTTCGGTATCGTGCGCGAACGCCTAACCACTGGGCCGGCATCCAACGGTTTTAATGTCTAACTCTGATTGATTTTGTGCGACCTCACCCATTTTTTCTTTGGTAGTTACTGCCTACACCCGACAGGGTTGAACTTCACTGGTCACGGGTTCGAATCCTGCGAGGTGCAGGAGTCGTGGACGCGCACTGCTGATGAGTCCCATACCAGGACAAAACGGCCGTCCGGTGCTTCCAGGTTTCTAATGGTGGTCTAACAATGATTGATTGAAGATTTTAAATGCGTAAAAACACTAATCTCCATAACTGTAATTGAAAATATTCCTGTATCACCCCGCACATCTGCTGCAAACGATGGGAGTTCACGAAACGTTATTCCTGGTCTCTTGAAACCCCGTAATAAATTACATATAGGAGGTTTTAATGTTCGGACCCTATGCCATATAAGGCAACATGCTTCATTAGCTAAAACTCTGGAATCCCGGGCGATCGATGTGTGCTGCGTTTCCGAAACGCGCATACAAGTTCTGAGTAAAATCATCAATTTGACTTCATCTAGTGCGGATAGGGAAACAACACGGTTTACGCTTCGTGTTTCTGGAAGTCCTGATGCCGCTACTCGTGGCCTCGCCGGCGTAGGTATAGTATTAAGTCGTATGGCAGAACTAGCTCCCGATAGACAGTCGCTTATGCGCTGTCCAGCTAAACGGGACGGTACGACCTCGGAAGGATAGGGACATTGGCTGTTGTCTCTTCGTCGTATCTGTCTACGCTCTCATTGACTGCAGTTCAGATGACATAAAAGATAAGTTTTATAGAAACCTATCTAAACTTCTCCAAAATGTTAAGCGCTCTGACATAGTAATATTGGCTGGTGACTTTAACGCTCAAGCAGGTAGACTCAGCGAAAAGGAAAGACACGTGGGTGGATCGTACGGTGTCGCGGGTCAAGATCAGATAACCTCGACCGTTTATGTTGCATCTGCTCAGGACAAAAGTCTTCTTGTGACAATCACAGGGGGGATAAGTCCAATTAATATAGTTTCTAATTTGTTAGCCTCGATAATCCTTAGACGCCGAACTAGAGCTCGTGAAGAGAAGACTAGAGAAAAAAGGCTGGTTTTCGACCTGGACGTGGTTGTATAGACCACATTTGCACACTACCACAGGTCCTGGAACACAGACACATATTTAGGCATCCTACAATATTTGTCTTATTGGACCTTCAAGTGGCATTTGACTCTGATCGTGAAGTTCTGTGGCAGGGTCTGTCATTAAAAAGTGTACCAAATAAGTGCATTAACCTTACACAGGCTCTCTACTTGAAAACCTTCGGTCGAGTGAGGGCTTGTTGCGAACTGTCATCGGAATTCTTCACTTCAAGTGGCGTTTGTCAAGAATGTCCACTTTCCACATTGTTCAATTTTGTCATAGACATGCTGCTAAACGTAACATTATCTTCGTCTGAACTTTCAGCAGACCTTGTACCAGGAGGCTCTGTTGTTGACTTACAATATACCGATGACAGTTCTATTCGGTGAAGACGCTGACAAAACGCAATCTTCTGACCACCCTAAGCAACAATGCAAATACGATCGGGATGCGATTCCTCCATTCGGAATGCAAAACGTGGCCTCAGCACTGGCTTGCGTCGGCACCTGAACTAGTGATAGGGGGAGTAGTTGAGCGTGTCGACCGCCTCACTCATTTTTGGAATTTCTGTGCTCGTGGCCTGGTGTCTGACGAAAGCTAAGCACGGATACAGGTTTGACTGACTTTTTCCAAACTGCGTCACGTATGGCATAGAAAATATATTTTTCTGCTTACAAAAGAATTAATGTAATGCGCAGCAGTTCGTTTCATCGTAATCCGAGTGTGTAAAATAGCCAATAAGAAGCGAAGATACTGATATTCGATAATGTGTGTTGCTCGCATACCCTTGGGCCACCGAGTCAGGAATGCCATTGTCAGGAAAAGGCTCCTAGATAAGGAGGCTGGTTAATTGAAGTAGTAAATGTTCATCAATTGAGATGGCTGGTGAAAATGGTACGTGTGCCTAACCACCGACTGCATCGACAAGCAATGTTGTGTGACGTATGGGTAGGTTGAAAGTAGCCTAGGTGTGACCAAACCAAAACGTGGAGCAAATCAATGGAGTTATTGAGCAAGTTCTATATCGTAGCTGACCGACTGAAACGAATGTACAACTCAGTACACCATAATCTAGTAGTATTATGAATAGAAGGGATGTGACAACTAGAGATTAAAGACAAATGTTTGAGGTTTAAAGATAACTCAAATCATAATGAAACTCACCGAAGATTTTAATTCGTAACACCCTGCTTGACTGTATGGCAAGTGAGAGGTCGGACTCATCCCCGATGGTTATAAAATCTCCATCTGAAAGGTGAAAATATGAGTTTTGCACTCACCTTCGTCTTTATATTTTATTATTAATTCATCTTCCTTTGATATATATTGTTTGAAAACACGATGCATCATCAAAATAAGCTCATCATAAGTGATTTCCTCATTAAGTATTTGGATCCGTCGCAGATCATACCCAAGTTGAGCTTTGATAATAAGTTTACCAGGAAGATCCATGATCAAACTCTGCAATCAAATCCCCACTCTGCTTCGCAGTGATAATACGTCAGCGGCCAATATTTGGCTTCAAGCAGGCCACGTGTCAAATGTCCAATATCCAATATCTTTTTCACAAGAAAGTTTAAAATAACTGACCTCTTTCCGCTCGATTCTTGTCATTTCGATACGGTTCCAGGTGTTTAGTTTTGTACAATAATCAGGGGTCTAGCCACTCTACTGCCTAGTTCTAGGCAGTTGGCAGTTGTATGTTAGTTTGTATGTCCCGTCATTCGAATGAAAACGTTTGTTTCAGGACTGTAGAGTTTCTAGATACCAGCAGTTATCACATCACCAGACCGGAAATCAGTTAGTTAAAATGCGGAGAATAATGACGAGAAAATTCTAGAGCTAATAAGATTTCAGAACTGAGTAAATCAATAGATAATTTAGTTTATTAATTGGTAGTTAAGATTGTGATCGATGACAGAAGTGTAAGCAAGGGTGAGGAAACAGAGTCAATAGGTGAGATAGATTAATTGAGTTACCTGATGAGGTGGCGATGATAACAATTAGCAGGTCTCAAGGCATGCATCACACACAGCTTGTCAACGAAGGAGACGATAGTCCGTATGTGAGTACGTGTTTATCAAGCCTCTTCATAAAAGCTGTCCATAGAGAGAGCTGCAGTCACCTCCACATGGAGAACATTCCAAGTTTCAAGCACTATTATTGAGAAAATTTCTCATGAACCTTAGGGTTTTCCGGTTGATGCGCAGTTTTTTTCGAGGATTGCTTCGAGGGGAGTTGTGGTGATGTATCGGTAAGATGCTCACTTTGGGATGGTTTGGCGTGATTGAAATTTTGCACGCCATAATCAAATGGCCTCTGGTTCTCCTGTAACTTGGAGGGACCAATCCCAAATGCTGGAGTCTATATTCGTAAGGTTTTATTTTTCAACCCTATCACCCTGCACTTGATCCGAGAGATTTATGTTTATTTTATGTAGAGGGGGTGAGATGACGCTGTTAATCTCCAGTAGTGGTCGCGCCATATCTCACAAAAAAAACTAACACGCTAACCGGAGAAATCATTTCAAACCATCTTAACTCTGTCCTGGGAGTTAGAATGTCTTCTGTCGGATAAGTTATGAAGTCTCATGATGAAAGCCGAGTTTTCTCGGAAGTCACGATGCCGATGCCCTTTCTGACAAACAGAGCAACCATTGTTTTAGGTACATGGAACGTTCGAAGATTGTGGGAGACTGGAAGAATATTCCAAGTTGCTGCAGAAATGAAAATATACAACTTGGAGGTGCTTGGAATCAGTGAAAACTATTGAACGCTAATTGGACGACTAAGACTAGCTTCAGGAGATATGTTGTTATACTCTGGTCACGAAGAGGAAAACGCTTCACATACACAAGGAGTTGCACTGATGCTGTCCAAACAAGCACAAAATTCTCTTATAGGATGGGAAACTCATGGACCAAGGACCATCAAAGCATCCTTCAAAACACAGAAAGAGGGTATTACAATTAACGTCATCCAACGCTATGCACCTACCAATAACTACCAATGACAACATTAAGGATGAGTTCTACCAGAGGCTGCAGTGAATTGTCGACAGATGCTCACCAAGTGATTTGCCAATTCTGATGGGAGACCTAAATGCCAGGGTTGTTAAGGACAACGCTGGATATGAAGACATCATGGTTCGACATGGACTGGAAGAAAGGAACGTAGACGGTGGGAGATTTGCATACTGTTTATCGGTGGCACAATATTCCCACACAAACACACAAACAGAGCCACATGGATTTCATCGGATCACACTAGTCAGAACCGAATCGACCATATTTGTATCAATGAAAAATTCAGAAGGATGATGGAGGATGTGAGAACCAAGAGAGGAGCTCGTACAGCATCAGATCACCACATGCCGGTCACCAAAAGGAAACTGAAACTCAAGAAACAATAGGCAACAGGCGAACAACATCACAGAAGTTTGATACGGCCTTTCTTTGGGATACTGGATAGCTCAGTGAATCTGAGATAGCCCTCAACAATAGGTTCCAGGCCTTTCACGATCCACTCAATGGAGATGAAACAACAATGGAGGACAATTGGAAAGGGATCAAGGAGGAAATCACTTCGACATGTCACGAGGTTCTTGGTCACAAGAAGCACCATCACAAGGAATGGATCTCTGTTGGTGTTACGTCCAGTTTTTTGCTCGTTGATCTTACGAAGCACTGTTGTCGTCTATTTGTAATTCACGGTCCCAAATTTCTATACCAAGAACGAAACTCCAAAGTAGATACCAAAGTTTATTCCAAATCACAAATTCGACCAAAATAATTTATTACAAATAGACGATCAATGTCGTTCTAACAACAATAATTATAATAATTACAATTACCTTCTAATTTATTATCTCTTGGAGCAAAAAAACTGCAACGAACAACAAAGAGAAACGGGAGTCCAATATGTCCGCAAATAATAATTCAAACAAGTTCATAAGTTAAGTAAAACAAATATACCCAAAAAACAGTGAAATTAATGATATTTATACATGAAGGTTTTGATCAGCAAAATGTCTTCGTTTCTCCCGTAACAGTTGGTACTCTTGAAACAATTGAAGAAAGGAGGAACAAGAGGTCAGCAATCAATGTCAGACGAACAAGAGCAGAGAAAGTTAAGGCACAAGCTGAATACACAGATGTAAACAGGAAAGCGAAGGAGAACATCAGAGCCTACAAATGAAAATATGTGAAATATCTAGCGATGATGGCGGAAAAGGCTGCAAGAGAAGGAAACTTCAGACAACTAACTGTACGATACGACAAAGAAGCTCGCTATAAACTATCGTAAACCAGAACGACTAGTGAAAAGTAAGGAAGGCAAAGTAATCAGCAATATTGACGAAAAGGGAAATGGGTGGGTAGAGCACTTTAAGGAACTCTTGAGTCGACCAGCCCCACCGAACCGACCCAACATCGAAGCAGCATCCGCGGACCTCTCAATCGATGTCGGCCCACCAACAATCCAAGAGATCAATATGTACACCAGACAAATGAAGAGCGACAAAGCAGCGGGACCAGACAACATTTCAGCAGAGGCAGTCAAATCGGATGTGGAAGCAACTGCGAGAATATTTCACATTCTCTTCAACAAGATTTGGGATGAGGAACAGGTACCATCAGACTGGAAAGAAGAATACCTCATCAAAACAACAAAGAAAGGCAATCTCAGTATGTGTGAGAACTACAGAGGCATCACTCTTTTCTCAATACCAGGCAAAGTCCTCAAAAGGGTGTTGCTGAACAGAACGAAGGACTTCGTCGACGCCCAACTTCGAGACCAACATGTTGGATTTCGTAAGGATCGATCGTGTACTGACCAAATTGCAACATTACGGATCATTGTGGAACAATCAATTGAATGGAACTCACCACTCTACATCAACTTCATCGACTAGGGGAAAGCATTTGATAGCGTGGAGAGGAAAGTACTATATAGGCTTCTTCAACACTACGGCGTGTCTGAGAAGATAATCAATATCATAAGGAATTCTTACGTTGGATTAAACTGCAAAATCGTGCACGGAGGTCAGCTGACAAACTCGTTTGAGGTGAAGACCGGTGTCAGGCAAGGTTGCTTACTTTCACCCTCTCTCGTTCTCCTGGTAATTGACTGGAGTATGAAAACGTCAACATCTGGAGGGAAGCACGGTATCAACTGGACAGTTAGGACGCAGCTGGACGATCTGGACTTCGCAGATGACCTGGCTCTTCTATCGCACGCGCAACAACAAATGCATGAGAAGACGGTCAGTGAAGCAGCAGCTTCAGCAGCAGTAGGTCTCAACATACATAAAGGGAAAAGCAAAATTCTCCGATGCAACACAACATGCACCAACCAAATCACGCTCGATGGAGATGCTTTCGAGGACGTTAACAACTTTACATATCTGGGCAGCATCATCGACGAGAAAGGTGGATCCGATGCAGATGTGAGGGCGCAGATTGGCAAAGCGAGGGCTGCATTTCTACAGTTGAAAAATATCTGAAACTCCAAACAACTTTCGAACAAAACCAAAATCAGGATTTTCAATACAAATGTCAAGACAGTTCTGCTGTATGAGGTGGAAACTTCGAGCACTACCGAAGTCATCATCCAGAAGATTCAAGCATTTATGAACAGTTGTCTATGCGATATACTTCGGATTGTTTGGCCAGACACTATCAGCATCAAACTACTGTGTGGGAGGACAAACCTAATTCCAATGGAAGAGGAAATCAGGAAGAAGCGGTGGTTGTGAATAGGACACACACTGTTTAAAGCGCCCAACTGCGTCACAAGACAAGCCCTTACACGAAACCATCAATTTTAAAGGAAAAGAGGAAGGCCCAGAAACACACTACGCCGAGAAATAGAGAAAGATATGAGAAAAATTAACAAAAGTTTCAATTATGTGTTTGGCGATCGATGAACATGGTTTTCTATTTCCAACGTTAATCGGCTCATCTGACGTTAACTGATTTTGAAGCCACTTAGGTACATGTTCCACAACCCTTGATTGCAAAGTCCGATTACTCCTCCCTATGTATGTGTGTCCACACAAACATGTAAATTGATAAATACAGTGGGATGTGATGTAATCATTAGAGCAACAGGGCATAAGATTGACATCAAGACAGCCTTCAAAACATTGTATAGAAATGTTGAAGGACGAATTTTGAGGTTTATGGAGGCCTTGGCTATTAGAAAATTAAAACCCCCTCTATGTGTGCAGAAACAATTTGTCATAACCTTGAATTTACCTTGGTAATCTTTAAGCCTAGTGTAATGTGACAATTTTCCTACCCCTTCTTATTCTTTTCATATTACGTTAATTTTCTCTCTCCTTTATTTACAATTATCACCCTATGTCTATTTGAACTTTTAATTAATTGACCTTTTATTCATCTTCATATAAAATGCCTTGACAAGTAAATATGTGTGACCAGATTGTTCGAA